AATTATTAATTTTTTAAAAAAAATTAAAAAAATTAAACAAATTTTTAAAAAATAAAATAAAAAAAATACACGAACCCCTAAACGCCGATAAGGAGGGATTTTTTCAACCATGCTCCTGACACTAGCACCCACACAGACAGATACTTGTACACAATATGAAGTGCTTGATTTTGTGCGTCTCCATCCTCACAAGATGAGAGGAGAGTTTGTTAATGATTGAATATCTGAATACAGAATACAAGTAATGTAGTTGTTCCTATACAATAGGCTACCAATTAAGTCAAACTAATCCTGACCACATATATTCCTAATTATTACACTAACACACAAACAGGAAGCTCTGGATGATGGAGTAAAGGATCGGTATCAACTGAAGAAGAGAGTGGAAGCTGTGAGTGGTGTAAGGAGGCTCACAAAACTCGACATGAAACTCAACGATGCACTTCCTGAAATATCAGTGTGTCCAGAGACGTACAAGGTGACTGCAGATCACACTGAGCTTGCATGCCCACCTGCTTCTACTGTCCCCCTTTCTCGGAATTACTTCCTTTTCTAGTTCAAGATATAATACCGGGTAATATTACTTCTCGGTTATACAAAGTATTCCATTCGCTACTTCCAAATTATTTACGGGAAAGCACTCAGCCATTACTCAAAGGTACGCTCCCTGGTGAAACCCGCTTTATGACCCTAGTTGGCAAAGGACCACAAGGAAGTAAATTATGATACTTCTTAACTTTCTTTCTCGGGGTTTAGTTACCATTCTTACTTTTTCTTTCTTGAACAAAATTAGGACGCATGATTAAGAGTTTCATTCTCTTGAATTGGAATCTATTATAGATAATGTAACATTCCTGAAAAGCCCACATAATCTAAGAATGTTAGGGCAATGTGATTCTCATGAATGTTAAAGAAAAAAAAAATTACAAAATGAATGTTTGAGAATATCACGCTTCTTAGTGACTTCACATCTCCTTAAACCAAATAAGGATTACAATATTTGCATTCATGGGGTCATGTGAGATGTTTTGAACCAAAAGTCTTACTAAAAGAAATTCAGCAAATTATACTTTGAATTATGGTTTATATTTCAACGTTGATAAATGTTTATTTTTCATTTAACTTATATGTTACTACAGGTAGGGATCATGTTAGAATGATCAAATTTGTGCACTCTTACCATGATATTGACGGGATGAGATTGATCCAAATAAAAAACATAATCCTGTAATCTATTTGAACCAATCTCGTTCCTTAAATTTGGTTTGTGGTATTTTCCATTGAAACGTTGTTGTCCCCCACTAGTTTGCCATGCCATGTTGGGGGGTTTCCACTGCCTATGTTGATTATAGTACACAACTGTCTGAATAATCATTGGTATTTGTCTATTTGACACTAATATCTGCAAATTGGAGTTGATAACATTAATTTTATGAAAAGCTTGTTATTCGAAAGTACGCTTTCAAGTGAAATCTTGATTATAGCTGATAAATGATCACAAACAAGTAAATTAGTTTAAGGGTTTTTTATAGTTGAAATTAAGTAAGTCAATAGACAATATTTATGGAACAGCCTTAAATTTCCAGGTCAGCTGACGCAGCTGTCTTACTCGAAAGATGTGCCTACAATTCAGGGGATTAGTCACTGTGTCTGTGTTTAAAACTTGATGATTATCAAGTTCGATCAATTTGTCTCATGAAAATTGAGAATAAATAACTTTGATATGCCTTAGCTACCCTTCCAGCATGTAAAATGAGCTCTACTACTATGGAGTATTTTACATATTATTGAAGTTTTGTCTGTACGAGTCGTTGGGTACACGTGATCCCTTTCTCCATTAAATAACCATAGTTTATAAACTAAATGGTTACCATCAACACTTACTCCCAACATGTGCCTATAATAATAATGGTAACATCAACACGCATAACGTCAACATAGGGGGAGTTAGTATTACTTTTCAATTACTTAGATATTTTAGTGACACAATTAAAAGTAGGGGTGAGCAAAAAAGGGTTATTCACCGCATAAGTATTGATAATTAAATTGACTAAAAATTAGGTTATCAGTTATGATTTATGAAAGTTAAAAAATTTTAAAATTATTTTTTGTTATCGTTTAATTGAGATTATTTTTATGGTTGGGAATTCAATAGACATTTAAATGTAGGAGTGTGTAATGATTGGTTATAGCTATATTAAATTTTTGTTCAATTGACATTTAAACATAAAGGTGTGCAATGATTCATTATTAGTTGGTTATAGTTATGTGGCAACGTACGAACGTTTTCCAAGCGAGCTATGGGAGTCTAGGTTTTGCGAACTAACCGGACCGGAAAAGAAGCAAGCATGTATAAAGGGTTAGGTCCAATCATTCTCCTCAATTGAAATCGGGCATAACCTTGGGGGATAGGACATAACTCCCGTTGTTTAAGAGTAAAAGGTTCATAAATAAGGTAGTTAAGAAAAAAGTGAGTCAATTGAAAACTAACTGTTTCATGATACTATTTAAAATTAAGAATTTGTTGAGTTTCTTAACATTCACTCACAAGTCACAATCCTTCCTCTTATGTTGTCTTCATGCCTTCTAGTTCTAGTTTTTCAACTAATGTAACATCATCAAAGGATGCATTTGAGAGAACAATTGTAGTAATTGAAGTGATTTATGGTTCCAACTATTTTTTGAAGGGTTAGTTGGATGATCTGTAATTGAAGTGGTCCACTTCTCTAACTATAGAAATTTCAATTGTAAGCTTGGAGCAATTTAATAGCTTCAATTTCACTGCTTTCATTTTACTCACCCTAATTTTATCACTCTCCCAAATGGATTATAAATCAAAGGTTTTATAATCAAACACCATAATCTTTTGATTGTAGTTAGGTGTTCTCAGTTGAGTCTTCATTCTTCTTATATAAATGCAAAAAAATATAAAGTTATTTAAAAGTCAGCTCACATAAAAAATAAATAAATAAAAATAAAAACTTATTTCTACATGTTATTACACATGAATATAATTTATATAGTGCACATCTTCTTGTAATGACTGTAAATTTCGCTCGCCACTGAAGGTTGCTTATTATTTATGGAGAAATAATCTGTTGTGTTTATTAACAAAATAACGAACACTATTTATACAAGAGTTTAACAACTAAATACCAAAGATACAGCAGAACTAATAGAAGGAAAGAGACTAATAACTCTTATTCAAAAGGAGACATTACAGAAGAACAGAATGATCAAAACAGAACAGTAAACTTAATCAATTTGAGTCATCCACAATATTAGTATTGCGAAGTTCAATGAGAACCCTACCTATCTTAATTTTGGGATGACAGTCACTCCTACGATTCAAACAACTCATTGGGGAATTGAAAAAGCAAAAGAAAAAAAAAAACACCAGATCTCTAACAAGAGGTGTGTTAACTTTCTAAAAAGAAGAAAAATCATTGAAATAATCATAATGTTCTTATTCTTATCATCACAAATAATAATATCACTTTTTAAATTGAGTTTCAAGAAAATAAATACTTAATAATCAGAATTTCTTTACATATATGTATTTGACTTGTTATAAATATAGAAAATTGCATGTTCTCTATATTCAAAAATTATCCTGTCATATTATGAATTAATAGTATAAAATTACATTAAAATTATATAATTGAAAATGTTATAACGATGTACTTAAAAATGCTAACCTTATTCACGTGACACAAATTTAGGAACCACAACTCTCCACATTGTGTTGAAAAAACATATCTAACTATTTAAACAATGGCAAATTTTGTGTGGATCATGGTCCACACATTGTTATGTGGATCATAACAAAATGTACATTTTTAATATATTATATGTACATTATTTTTGTACTGAATGTACATTATACTGAATACAATGTATATTATTTTTGTATTGAATGTACAATATTTTACACTATACAAAATATGGTCCACACAATAATGATTGTTACACCTTGTCACAAATCATCAATTACTACCTAAAGACATAAACTGAAAAGAACTCGTTCTGATGTGTAAACTGAACCTGCTCTTATTGGGGACTGGCTAAATAGTTTGCTCCATTCATATGGGTGGGGATCAAACTCCCAACCTTATGCTTAAGGGACGAGGTGCTGAATCATCACGCCAACCATGTTAGTTAAACTGAACCTGCTCTTGTATAAGAATGTGAATGAGTCGAGCAGTTCGCGAGCGGCTCGGTCAAAACTCAGCTCGAGCTTGGTCAATTTTGAGCTCGAGTCGACTCCTTTCATAATTAAGCTCAAGCTTGAGCTCAAATGTTTTAAACTCGTGGCTCATCGAGCCGCTCGCGAACCATATATATATATATATATATATATATATATATATATATATATATATATATATATATATATATATAATTGAGCGACTCGATCAAACTCGACTCGAGCTTGAGCTGGCTGATTTCATAGGAGCGTTATACTGTGCAACTGTGTGCACCATGCAAGGTGCACACGAAATTGGATTCATAATTTTTATACTATAGATCCATAATGTCTATACTATAGATTCATAATTTCTGTACTATAGATTCATAATTTCTATACTATATATAGATTCATAATTTCTATAATGTAGATTCATAATTTCTATACTAAAAATTCATAATTTCTAAACTATATAGTTATCAAATTATGAACATATAGTTCAGTGATTTATGAATACATAGTTCAATAATTGGGAATATAAACATTGAAAATTATAAAAATAGAGTTTTGTAATTGTGAATATAGAATTCAATAATTATGAATCTATAATATAGAAATTATGAATTCAATTCCGTGTGCACACGGTTGCACAACATAATTTGTAGATTTCATAACTTAGCCGAGCTCGAACTTCAATTTTCGAATTCAAACCTACCTGACTCAGCTCGTTTACTCCTACTCTTGTATAATAATCGTAAATTATACAGGAGAGCTAAATGTATACTCCTTAACACTTTTCATTCTAGATATGCCAGAATTTCTCTTCATATAACACGTTTATCGTACCTTTATTAATCTTCCCTTGCGTTGAAGCGTGAAAGGAAAAAAAGTAAGAGATAGACGTATAATTGCTGGGTATTTAAGAAAATTGCAGAATACTCAAAATCTTTACATGCAACACTTATTTAATGTTCCTGCAGGCCATGAATGAAGCCATACACATTACACAGCCTGCCCAAATCTCTACATTTTCATATTTTCAACTTGTCAGACTCAGACAAGCAACGTCGTAGACAAAATAATATTTAAAAAATGGGTAGTTCAGTTCGGCGATCTGTAGTGTTTCCTTTTCCGGAATCGCCCAAAGTCTTTGCTTTCACTAAATCTTGATTTGTAAACCAATTTGAGCTTGACCCTTTTTGATTTATCCTTAAGAATAAGCCTTTTTTTGGTTGCAATGGCTGAGAGTTTTGTGCGTGTGGATGAATCAAGCCTCCTGGAGACCACTCCTCTGCTCCCCCCGCTGCCCCAGAAGCCTGGAAATCAAGAGAAAAAAGGGAATGGAGAGGAGATTGATGGGCGTGATCACGTGGCCACCGATCTCGATAAAGCTCTGCAGAGATTGGAGTGGTTTCTGGGGGCGCTGGGGTTCAATCAGAGCTCAGTTCTGAGGATTGTGGTGTCCTGGGGTTTGTTTTTGGTTCTGGGTTTGGCTGTCCCGGTGGTGATTCTTGAGCTCTCCGATTGCCGGGGGTGCCAGAAGGGTCAAATCAAGAGCTTTGAAGTGGACATAGTGGTGTCTCAGGCTTGTCTAGCGGCTGTTTCTCTGCTCTGCGCTTCGCACAACTTGCGGAAATATGGTATTCGGAAGTTCCTGTTTGTGGACCGGTACAGTGGGCATGTGGAGCGGTTCAGTGAGGAGTATATTAAGAAGATTTCTGTGAGTCTTTTGCTTCTCTTGGATCTTCTGTATGTGCCATTGTTCATTTTTTTAAAATTTTTTCTGTGAATGTGGTGTTTTCTTGCTCTGCTGATAGATTTTGGCTCTGTTTGGGGAGCATATAGCTTATTTTAAGCTACTAATAAGCTATAAGCTTTGATAATGTTTTCAAAATAAACTAGTAGATTTTCTTAGTTTATGTGCCATTGTTCATTTTTTTAAAATTTTTTCTATGAATGTGGTGTTTTCTTGCTCTGCTGATAGATTTTGGCTCTGTTTGGGGAGCGTATAGCTTATTTTAAGCTACTAATAAGCTATAAGCTTTGATAATGTTCTCAAAATAAACTAGTAGCGTATAGCTTATTTTAAGCTACTAATAAGCTATAAGCTTTGATAATGTTCTCAAAATAAACTAGTAGCTTAAAATAAGAGTTTATTTTGAAACGTTACTATAAAGTAGGCGTTTCAAAAATAACCTAGTAGCTTCCTAACTTAGATGAAACCGCAGTTAGCTTCTAATTGGCCACTCCTGTTGGGAGTGGGGTTGCCCCCCACTTATTGATTTTGAGTGATCTAATAGGCTACTCCTGTTGGGAGTGGTGTTGCCCCCGCTTATAGATTTTGAGTGATCAAGGGAAACTTCAGCCAGTACTTGAGAGTGTGTACTGGGTAAACTCATCTTACGACCCTAGCCGACAAAGGATCATAATGAGGTAAACCAACCTAGTTTGCTCATAGTTGACTAGCTAAAACTAAAGAAGTCAATAGGCAGCTCCTGATGGGAGTCGAACTTATAGCTTTGTGGTAGCCGACAAAAGATCACAATGAGGTAAACCAACCTAGGTTGTTCATAGCTGGCTCAAACTAAAAAAGTCAATAGGCAGCTCTTGATGGGAGTCAAACTTGTAACTTTGTAGTTATCAAGCCAACAACTTACTAACTTGGCTAGAGTTGTCCTGCCGACATATTTTAGCAATGCTGTGTGTTGTGTTCCCGGGCAAAAGCACGTGTCAAGGGGCGAGGGAGGGGTGATTTGGTTGGCACTGGTTTGCCTATGGTGGAAGAGGCATTGGACAGCAGAAGTACAGAAAAGATAAAGAGGGTTTTATGGAGTTTCCTTCTCCTTGTTTTCTTATAAATTCTGGCTTAATTCATTAGCAACACAAACCTCTCTTCTTATAGCAGAGAGTTACACTTTCCTAAAGTTAACAAAAGGAAACTTAGACTAAATAAGCTAATATAGAAACTAACTAAACTGATCTAGAAAAAGGAAACAAAGACTAACTAAAACATAAAAGGAAAGGAGAATCATTAAAGCTCCTTACCATAATTATTTGCTATTTCTAAAGGAACTAAATCAATTCTAATAGTAAAGAACATATCACTGTGTTTCGTAACTATATTACTTAATCTGACTATTCCAATTATAGATTAACTTATCTGCCTTTTACATGTTTGGCCACATTTTTTGCTTATTTGAGCCAATAATCCATGAATAACTCTGAGTGGGTGGATAATCAATAAGCATACATCATTATGGTGAGTCTTGCCAATCAGGGACTATAATCTATAGTGAATCAAGTTGAGGCTAGAGTTTTAGTTCTATTTGAAATCGAAATACTGTTATTGCGATTCCTTTCCTGGGAAAATATCGGTAGAAAAGAGGAATAAATGTCCTCTGATATAACTATTCCTTTTTTGTTGAATGAAAGGGGTTAATGTAGTTTTTGCAGCTTACTATGCTTTAATCTTCTGACTTTTGAATTCCATTTAGTCTGTGATGCTGGGAACTATATGTTTGAAGTTTTTCAAGTGGTCTGAAATTGAATTCTGCATTTATATTTGATCCTATTTATGATTTTTGCAATATGTTTGGCAACGAAAGGAAGTGATTGGCTGTTTAGGTATGCGTTACATGATTCACAGATTCATAATTTGTAGCCAAAACATAATCATCTTACAAGAATTAATTTTTTTAAAAAAATACAGAACTTAATGTTTTTTCTTGGGGGGTGATGGTTTAACAGGATTCAATCCGCTTGCTCGTATTGTGGGTGTTACCGTGTCTCGTTTTGAAGACTGCACGAGAAATCATCCGCGTTTTGTATGTGCATCAAGAATCATTGTGGCATTCCACCGCTATCTTATTAGCTTTTATTATGTCGTGGACTTTTGCTGCTGCAATTTTTCTCTCGGTCTGTGTTCTATTCCACTTGGTCTGCAATCTGCAAATCATACATTTTGATGATTATGCAAACCTCTTGGAACGAGAATCTGATGTTTTGCTACTAATGAAAGAGCATATGCGCCTCCGGTATAATCTATCAAAGATTAGCCACAGATTCCGAATATTTCTTCTGCTGGAGTTCACAATTGTCACTGGGAGCCAGTTTGTAACGCTCTTCCAGACAACAGCATATCATGGTATAATAACTTGTGTCAATGGTGGAGATTTTGCGGTAAGTTCAAACTTCTGCATTTCTTGGTCTATACTTTTTGTATTTGTTGGGCGGAGGCCTGAAGGGCCAAGTCCAGCACTCTGCCTCTCGAAAATGTGAAGGTATAAGGAAATAAGGTTGCGTCTTTACTACTAGCTTTAGGTTTTGGCGTAGTGGTAAGCGTTTGATCTTAACAGTATTGTTCTGAATCAGATAGGCTGCATAAGCGTGCTTAACTTTATGCATCAACGTTTTTCTTGGTCCGATCTTTTCGTGTTTAGCTGCCACACAATACTGTTCTCGTTGCTTGCAACGCATTTGTCTTTGCAGAATAGCTTTTGTGTTACACTATCATTTAAAGATGGATTCTTTACTCTTCTTTTGTTTGGGGGCTTCAGGTCTCCTCGATTGTTCAGGTGGTGGGGGTGATTCTTTGCTTGAATGCTGCTTCGAAAATATCCCACAGGGCGCAAGGCATTGGATCGCTAGCGAGCAGGTGGCATGCTCTAGCGACGTGCGGTTCTGGCGAGGCATCTCAAATGAGAAACACAAACAATGGGAACTCAGAGGCCACCAATGCTCATATCACGAGCTCGTTCTATAGGATCGGCTCAGAAAGCGATTTGGAGTCCGTGGACTTCATGATGATGCCGACGAATACACATTTGGCTTCTTCTATGTCCTCGTACCAGAAACGACAATCCTTAGGTATGTTTTCAGAGGCTGATTTCTTCGTGTTTGTTACCTTGTCACCACACTATGAATAGATCGGTATCTTTTCCCTAGTAAATGTACTTCGTGTTTGTTACCTTGTCACCACACTATGAATAGAACGGAATCTTTTCCCTAGTAAATGTACACTTTCAGCTAAGAAATGTTTGACACATCAAACATCTCATAAGGAGATACTAACCACAAAAATGGAGAACTGGAGAATGAAAAAAAAAAAAAACATTTACTTGCATATTTGGAAACGAGGGGCAAAGAGTTAAGTAAATAGGGACAATCTCATCCAAATTAGTTCGATTGTTGACTTGATAATCACAAGGTTACAAATTCAACTCCTAGTTAGAGCCGCCTATTGACCTTCTTGATTTGAGCCGATTAGCTATGGGCAACTTAGGTTGGTTTACCTCATTGTGGTACTTTACCTGCTAGCATCACAAGACAGGATTTACCTAGTGCAGACTCTCAGATAATAATTGCGGGTCCATTCAAGATTCTGATGCAAATACATTTTTTTTTGAGTGTGTTATTATGTCATATATTATAGTGGCACTTGCAGTCTTGCACATATGTTATTCACTTAAGCTGCGGTTATGCAGTGATGTATCTGCAGAGCAATCGAGGAGGAATAACCATATACGGATGGACAGTGGACCGAGGCCTAATCAACACCATCTTCTTCATAGAGCTCTCGCTCATCCTGTTCGTGCTAGGGAAGACGATAGTATTCACAGGTGCATGATCAAAAGGACCTTCCACTCCCTCGAGAGCGGTCTGTGTTGATGTAACCCTAAGTTACAGCAGCAGCTCTGCTGCTGCTTACGGAGACCACCATTTGTGAGCTAATGATGTATGAACACGGTGCTTATACAAGTGATTTTTGACGAATTATTGAAAAGGTCCAGGTTGGTTTGTTAGCAGGAATTGAAGAAAGAGTTCGTAGCTGAAGGCAGACCCCTCAAGGAAGAAAGGAATATACGGTTTGTGTTGTATTGTATGTATAAAAAGTAAAAGAAAGTAAAGAATTTTGCATCCATTTGGCTTACACTTTTTTACTGCCTCTATTTCATTTATTGGTTAATTACTTTTTTTTTGTTGGTATTTAATAGCATTTTCAATGTAATTTTTAAATATATAAAACTTATATATATATATATATATATATATATATATATATATATATATATATATATATATATATATATTAATATTTAAACAACATTATAAAAAAAATGTAAATAATTTAATCAAACTTCATTTCATACACAAAAAATGATATAGAGAATCATTTAATTTCTTTAGCATGAGCAAAAATATGCCCAAACATAATTGTGTATGAGGGACATTTGAAACGAATAATGCAGAAATCCTAAATCAAGAATCGCAATACAAACGAAATACATTACCGAATTTTTATTTTTATTTTTTACAATTAAATCATTAAACTTAAAAAGTATACAAGTAAATATGTACTCCGTAACTTTTATGATTATTTTTCATGTAATTTAAGTTAAAAATATTTTAATCTTTCATAATAAGAAATGACAATTCTTAATACATATCATCATATAAATAAATATGATAGCTTTCAAATATATATATATATATATATATATATATATATATGATTAGATTTTATCGGAAAAAAGAAAATAAAAATACTCCTTATAAGTTTAGTCACTAAATTACACAAAAATATGAAGTTCAATATAGTCTATTTTAACACTTTTGCCATACAAAAATTATATTATGACACGAAAAAGTTCATTATATTAACACAGTGCCGGAAACTGGGTTTTATATATTGTCAAGTTGATTTTGTGTTTTTTTTTTTTTAATATTTCACACAACTGCAGAGCTAATAGTCTTTAAAAAACACAGCAAGTAAAGCTACACGAGACTACAAGCGCTGAAGAGAAGAGAAGCAACAGAGTGGTGTGTCCATAAAACAGTACATTTCCTCCCTGAACACCCAATTTAAGGGGTTTTACACAATTCCTGCTCATTTGTATAAGGTTATATCTCCAAGCAGGCAGCAGAGCTTCCTCTTTAAACTTAATTGGTGGGGGCAAATTTCAACTAAATCGGGCATGCATGCTTCGTTGCCTTGCAACTGGCAAAATGCCAAAATAAAACCATTTAGTTACCCCCATCATCACCACAAAGCTCATAACAACTCACCGCCACATACCATCATCATCTAACAATACAACGATGGACCTGAAAACATACCCTACCAACCAGCATGGCACATGATACGAGGAAGTAGGAAACCCGACAATAGTGTGGCAAAATACAGACACTAAGAATAGCTAGTGTTGAAAGATACCTTGTTGAGAGCTTGACAGACAAAAATGTTTGCCTGTCCAGATTGTTTTGTTCAACTAGGCTCCCTCAACCTGTGCTTTGCTTGATACTGCTGCAGTAACATTTTGCAGATGAGTGTCGTATCTTTCATTTCCACTGCACACCCAAATCTTGCTCATACAATAAAAATCAACAAAACAAAGGGAAAAGGGTCTAACAAGAAAAGAGATGGCAAGGAAAATACATGTTTAAACCAGCTGAAAAACACAAACTACAAGAAATCAGGGAAAAAAATACATGACCAAAGAGAATCAAGAAATCTCAGGTCAATAGCCAAATTCTCACTAATAAATGCACCAAAGCTTAACTGGTTAACATCAACTATCACTACCAACTTGTGCAAAATAACAAGAATCCACCATGTATAGTGCAGGGAGAGATTTAGCTTGTCTAGGACTGTCTAATCTTCAATTTTCTAACATACAGTAGATATGACTTCCTCATGTAAAAACCCCAAACAAGAAGTCCAAAAATAATGGGAGGAAACAACGGCATTTCACACAAATATTTTTGAGATGGCAAGCATGAAAGGTTTACCTGCTGATCCAGATTCTGGATGTCATTGATAAAAAGTAAAAGAGAAAGCATGTGAAACCAACATTTCTGAAAGACAAACACATTCCTATTTCAATATTGGCAAATGAAATAATTCCACATGAAGGGAAAGGAACTTTGTGATCCTCGATTACATCCATGTATTCAGATCCAATAATTACCTTCAAATGTTCATTAGTTTCTGTCTAGGTCTTCTTCAATGAAAATGATAGTACACCCTGTCCGCTTTACACCACCACCATCTCTTGCAAACACAATGTGAAGATTAAATTGGATAAAAAATAAAATTACCAAGAAAACCCATAAACAGTAACACCAATAAAATCCATAAGCTCTACTATTCAGAACCAACATCATAGAAATTGTTTACAATTTGCAAATGAGAAATATGTTACATACACGAGACACAATCGAAATCGATCGGTATAAGGGCTCAGCATACCACCCTGCAAGGCAAGCAGTCTGGCAGACGTGTGTTTAAGTCTACCTGCAACACATCTGACTACTGTGTCAAAATAATCCTTCCTCCACCTATTTTGTAAAATGTGCCTGCTAAAAAACAGCACGAGTGATCGTCTCACAAACAATGTTTGCAACTTCCTCACAGTAGATGGCTCTCTCACCTCAACCTTATCAATGACGAGTATTGCAGAAAGCAAATCTTAACAGTACAAATGAGCAATGCTGAATTTTCTTAACCAAACAAACCACCATTTCCAAATTCACCTTGCTGCAACTCCTTTCTACGCAGCTCCTCAAGGGGATCTGGACTCTTCTTGTGTACTCTTCGCACCCGCCTAATTCATTAAAAGGAAACAATGAAATCTTTTCCACAAGATAGCAATTTTCTTATGACAGTGATAGTTCACACAATCAAACAAAATATCACCTGTCCTGATCATGCTGTGCTGGAAATGTAGGCATGAATTCTTTAGACTTGGGGAGAGGAACTTCACGAAACCACTCATGGTTGAGAGCCTCATCAGCAGTTATACGCTGCAATTTATTACACCAATAGTATTAGAATATCAAATACAGAAGACAAATAGAGAGTTACCCTAGTGGAGGAAGTGAAGGTTTTTTTCAGTCTATTTAGTACCTTCTCGGGATCATAAGTTAGAAGCCTGTTCAACAGGTCAAAGCCAGCATCAGAAAGTATTGGTGACCCAAAGTTGAAGGGTGTGGCTGGAAACTTCTTGCGCAATAGATTATACCTGAAACAAATAAGAACCAGGTTAAAAGAAAAATGAAATACTCATTTAACTGATATTGTCGTCAGAGGAGGCAAGAAAGCCAGACCAGTATCACCCAAAGCTGGAAGCCTGGGAAAACAGTGGCAAAAAACAGAGAACATAAATCTCAAGTTATTTTGTGTATGGAAAGAATTTACAAGGAAAAGATACTTACTGATGCTTCACAAAGTTGATCTTGACACCTGGAAGTTTAGAAAAACCAGGCCATATTGTTTCATTGGGTGTGCCGAGGATTTTGAAAATCTGAAGGTAAACAAAGCACATTAGAACTATGTGGTGGGAATAAATACAGCTACAACCAATTCCTTCTAAAGGAGAAGTACAGACACAACAGTAGTTACCTTATCAAGTTGTTCAATCTCAGATTTCCCATTGAATAATGGTTCTTTGGATAACAATTCAGCCATAATGCAACCCAATGACCACATATCAATTGCTGTTGAATATTGTTTGGCTCCCAATAGCAATTCTGGTGCCCTGCAAGCAAATGAACTCTTCAATGTCTAGATAACCTATTAGTTAAGCAGAACCTCACACAACATCTAGATAACCTATTTTTAAAAATAAATAAGTAAACTCCCCAGGAATATGTATGCACACATAATATTAGAGCTACAGTTAAAGACCCAACAAAGGAAAGTATATTATATTCTTATGACCTTTCGAAGAAACTCAAAGCTACCTAAATGCAAGATACTAACTTCACCAATGTTGCACACTAAATCATAAATTCTACAGAGACAACCTAAATAAAATCTACAAACAGAAGGTGCAGAACCAAAATATCTTGTGATACATAGACGCACAATATATGAAGACATGACTATAACAATATGGGATCAAAACGATCTGTTAAAAAGGTTAGAAAAAATGCAGACAGATTGATACTCACCTGTACCACAAAGTAACCACCAATTGAGTGTATGGTTTCAGAGGGCTCCCATATTGCCGAGCTAACCCAAAGTCACAGATCTTCAACTCACCACGGTTATTTAAAAGCAAATTTGAAGTCTTCAAATCTCGGTGAAGAACCCAATTATCATGGAGATACTTGATACCCTCCAAAAGCTGGAGCATAAGGCATTTTACTTCACTTTGGCTAAATGGCTGCTTCATTGATTCCATCAATGCCTTAAGGTCATGTTCCATATATTCCATCACCATGAAAATACTGTCAAGACTGTTGCCAACAACTACTTCCTTAACATCTACTATAGAGGGATGATGAAATGAAAGAAGAATATTTATCTCCCTTAGAGAAGTCAATGGAAATCCTTCTCTCTCTTTCTCCATCTTAACCTTTTTCAAAGCAACAATTTCTCCGGTCTTATTATCCTTAGCCCGGTAGACTACCCCATAGGTGCCTTCATCTATCTTGTTAAGCCTCTCAAATTCATCAACACTCCTACATCCTTGAAGCATGTTTACACTTCTTTGTTGAGGGGGTGCAGGGTCTGGTGTACCACACGAGACATGGTCATCTTCAGAATCTGTATCTGACTGGCTAGCACTAGTACCATCATAATTACGATCCTTAACCACATCCATGTAATCATTGTTGTCAACATCATTGTCAGCATAACTATCTCTACTGGAAGACCTAACTCGCTCATCAGATCCTGATGATCTTGTCCTAGTTCCTTCAGCATCTCTTCTGAGCTCCCCAAGTTCTGGGGTCAACGATTTACGGTTCCCCTTAAATTCCGTGGACTCAGGTGCTGACTTCCTCTTTTTCGATTTAGGAATTTCATCATCATTGGAGATTTCACCTTCATCAGCTGGGGAATCAGCATCAGTTGCCCACCTTGAAAACTTTATGGTTCGAGTGGGTAAATACTCATCATCTTGAGCCTCCTGAAATGTCTGAGCCTCCTGTTCACTGCCACTGCGTTCCTCATTGTGGGGCAAAGCTACATCAACCAGGGATTCTGCAACACTTGCAACATCAGTTCCAACTGTAATGTTTGGCTCAGCAGGAGCAACAGGAGAATGCTGAATCTTGCTCTCCTTCGTAGGAGAATCCTGTACAGCAATATCCTGATGAGGTTTAGGTGTGGGAGTGGGATTGGACTTTACCGTGGGAGGCTGAGGAGGAAGGCTTGAAGTAGTTCGTAAGCTAACTGTCTTCACTGTTCTACTCACTTCCTTATCATCTCTATCCCAAATGATAGGAGAGAATTTCCTCTTCTTACTCTGGACAGGTGACTGATTTCCATTAACCAACTTCTTTGCCACAACATCTTTCAACTCTGAATCTGTATCCACAGCACCATCAGAACCACTATCGCTAGACAGCTCCCCTGGCTCCCGGTCAACATCCCTGACTACAAACCCAGATCTCTCAGCTTCACCAGCACTCCCACCGCTTCCACCTTCGCTACTGCCAGAGTCACTCCTACTAGACACAGAACGACGCTCTCCATTCATCACTTCCCTTTCTTTTACCTCCTTCTGTCTGACCCTACCCCTATCACGGCTATTCCTGTCACGAACTCGAACCCTCTCATAATCCTGATTCCCATCCCTGATTCGATCATAATCCCTCTTGGAATACCCAAATTCCCTCCTGGGCACATCCAAATCTGACTCCCGGCTCCTGAACTCATTATCTCTGTAACCTCCGTGCCTTCCAGCAGCCATACGGAAGTTAACGCAAACAAAACCCTAAATTCAACCTCAAAACCAAAAACCCTAACCCTAAAATCCCCCCCAAAAAAAAGTCAATTCAATCTCCTACCGACCAAACCCTAAATCGACCCAACAAATCGAACCAATAAAATCAGAAACCACAATCAAATTCAAAAGCAGCAACAAATCGAACTTTTTTTTTTTTTTTTTTTGCTTTTTCGGAATCGCAAACTACAGAAATCGCAGAAACAGAAACCCTAGGAGTCTGAAGTCGAAAAGTTTCTCTATCGAACGCGATTGAGATCGAAAAACGCCTTACCGCAGCGAAGATAGAGATATATGTGTATATATATTAGGAGGGATGGAGAGGCGGCGGCGGCGACGCGGCTTCTGTAGAGAGAGAGATATGGGGGCTATTCTCCTTCTCTCGCGTATTCGCACGATGATAAAGCGATATGGAAACCTCGTCGAAAGAGGGCTTCTCTGATTGGCTTTGCGTTTGTTAAATTGGGTGCCTTGGGAATTCAGATTTTGTATTTCCTTAATTATTTTAATGGGTTTTTGAGAATTACTGAAACCCCCCTAATCTTTCTTCCAATTTCATTCTGCGCCTTTCCTCATATTTATATAACATAAATCTAATCCCAACCATCTTAGGAAAATACTTATATTTTAAAATTTGAAACGAGTGTTTTACCCATGTAATACGAAATAATTTATGCTATTATAAATTTAAATATAAAATTTAGAAGAAATACAAAAAATATATATATTAAATATACAATATATAATATAATATAATTGAACCTCGCATATATTATATTTGGTCATGTATTTTCATAGTGTAAAAAAATAAATAAAAATTTATATAATTACTATTGTCCTTAATCATGTACTTCGTACATATTTAGATAATTTATATAATTAAATTGATTTATTTCTAATTGTATTTCATATATATTATAATTTTAACAATAAGAATAATAATTAAGGAGATTATACTTACAAATCAAAAGATGTAAATTAAAAAAATTCCTCTTAATGGATTTATATCATAATCGGACATATTTCCTTATGATTTTTTTTGAAGGCAAACCAATGTGGTTATATTAGAGATAAATCGAAATAGAGTCAGGAGGGGCAGAGTCCCAATACATAGTCGTATTCTGATCAAATGTTGCGGATGCTAGAGTATGAACTTTTGCGATCTATGAACAAAAATTAAGTAATTAACTGAGCAGGTTAAAAAAGTAGACATGCTAGCTTTGCAGCTATGAATAGCATATCCAATATATGATCGAGGCGGAGTCCATGGTGAGGATAAGTAACACTTCAATGTATGGTAATCTGTATAAAGTTGGATGGCATGTTCACCACGCGCTCGTAACCATGATAACGCTTCTTTGCACGCAACTGCTTCGGCCATGAGTGGGGATAAACAACTTGGTAAGGGGGCGCTGAATGCCGCTATGTAGCTTCCGTCCTCGTCGAGCAAAATCGCACACACCGTGGCCGAATTTATGGAATGATGATATCCGGCTCTACATAACACCTCCTTGGTCGTGCAGCAGCCGCATTCACCACAGCTGTAGACGTTGAGGCAGCAGCGTCGGGTGGCAGCGGCAGTGGGAGGCCGACGGTATCGGCTGCGGCAGTGGGAGGCTGACGGTATCGGTTGCGGCAGTGTCGTCGACCATCCTTGCCGCGGTTACATATTTCCTTATATGATTGTATATGCACATAATATTTATTAATATGTATTTTGACAAATTTTATAATATAATCATCCTAACTATAATTGTTATTACTATAATTATAATTAAGATTAAGATAATTAAATTTATAAATTACAAAATTAGTATTTTAATTTTTTTATGATTAATATGTGCACATTTATGTATTTAAGCATATTTCTAAATATTTATGAATACACATTTAATTGATTTTATAATTTCATTTCCTTAATTATATTTCATATTGCCTTAATTATAGTTAAACGAATTGCATTTGAAAAGTAAAAGAATTTTAAATTTAAAAATTTCATGGGTTAATGTAGTCCTTAACTATATGTATGTTTTTAGGCAAATTTTAAAAATATTCTTTTAATGAGTAACTATGGTAGCAATCAAGGTGTATAATTATAGCAGTAATTACAATTATATATTTTTTAAAAAGTGCATATATTTTATAGCGTACAATATAAATATAATATATTGCTATGCGAATTAATAGAAAGATAGATTTATAATACTTTTGTTATTATCATATCATATTTTTCTTTGTATGCAAAAACACTAATTTTAAAAGTTACTGAGTTTTGTTTTATAATTTACTTTGTAAATAGATGTTTGGAAAACTTTAAGTTTTGTTTCTAAATGTTTTCTAACCTCTTAAGGATAATCAAAATCACTTGATGTCATCTTTTAAATAGTATGTCAATGTTTGGCAAGTTCATAGTAGATTGTGTTATCATTTAAGTAGAGTATGTTCATGTTTGGTAAGAAATTTTATTTCCTATAGTTATAGGCATCTTTTTTAAATCATGGATTTAAATTAATATAATAACACTATATTTAAATTGTGGGACATTCACCAAATAACACTGGATTTGTTCAAACTCCACAAACTCCACAAATGTAGAACTACAAAATAGTATTATTATTATTATTATTATTATTAATTTTTTTTTTTTTAGTACTAATGAATAGTATTGTATTCATTAAAATTGGCTGATGACCAGCTTAAAGGATAATAATGAGGGAAGATCGGGGCAATCTCAATTGTTGACTTGATAACCACAGGGTTTCGTGTTCAGCTCTCAGTGGAAGCCAGCTAGTAACCTGGTTTGAGTTGGTAGACCGGTTTACATCCTTGTGGTCCTTCGCCTACCAAGTAGAAGAAATGAAGAGAGTTGAAAAAGGTTAATGTAGATTCTGTTCCCACTGGCTTGTTGTTAAAGGTGAGATGTAATAATACCTCTATTCTTTGCATTTCCATTTTAGCCTTTCTTCTCTCATCATCCTCCCAGGCTTGTATTTTCACCTCTTCGCGCTTATACCTGCAGATTCATGGCTCATGACTTCATCAGCGTATATGTATATCAAACGGATATGTAACACAGATAACTATTGAAGCTCGGTTAGATCACCTTTCCTTCTTGAACTGCCATTTCGAGTCATTTCTGTCCCCATATCCCTCACATTTGTCGATCTAACCACCATTCAGAACAACCGATCCTCCAAACAGATTCCATCACAGTTAACCATCTTTGTTTCCTCGGGAAGCTGAATCATCCCAGCGGAGCTATGACAGATCTTTCCCGTTCATCCTCACTGATACCTCGTGGCATTCAACTCAAAAATACAGAACTTAGACCTGTGACACTATATTCTGTCATGGCATTTTATGCAGGAAAAACCGAAAAATGACAGGATATCATGGGATACCATGTTAGCATTCATGGGAGGATGTTTTTACCACTAAACTAATGAATCTAGGGATGACTAGTGAGTAGAGATGACTTATTTAACCACATCAAATCTTTCACTGCTCAACATAGTAAGAATTACATAAGAAAGAAGTATGAATAAATGGCACAATACATAAGAAAGAAGCATGAATAAAAGGCACAACACATAAGAATTATTACAGAAAGAAGTATGAATAAAAATGAAAGAGTAGATTGGCAATGTTTGTTGATACTAAAAATGAAGTTTCAGTATACTAAAAATGAACATTATGCCAGTGGTCCACGGTATAATGATTGACAGACATGAGATACCTCCATGTTCTTCTGTTCTAGTTTTGAATCCATTTTTGGATGGATGATTTGGAATGCTTCTCTGTTTTAGAGTGTAAACCATGTGCACATGTAAACTCTGGTGGACCCAAAGAAATGAGGATAGATATTCAGTTTTTTTTTTTTTTTTTTTTTTTTAAATATTAAATCTAAAAATAAATGTAAAGTACATCAGTACAGATTCTACTGGACACTTCATATTGATGTGGTGAACATCAGAGGTACCCTAACATTTTACAAGTTACAGTGAACTGCCATTATCATTTCTCCCCTTGTATTTAAGGGAAAGAAGGTATTTGCACACAAGAATGTCCACTGTAAAACAGAAACACCATCTCAAACAGTCTAGAAGCGAAATTACAGATCTGTGGAACTTGTGACAGTGATCCTGTGCTAAGTGAACCGATTGGCTAAAAAGCGCTGCAGTTTGATTATCCTAGTTTATCATCATGCTTGAGTTCCAATGTATGTAATCAAATGAATAATTGTTGCTGTGACAACTCCCAACAATCCACCGGCAACGACCTGCAGCATAGCGCTTACATTAGTTTTTGTATTTTGGGTGACGAGGGAAACCCGTAGTCACTACCCGAAGGTGTGCCACTGGGTAAACCCCAGCTCGTGACTTTAACCGGTAAAGGATCACAAGGAGGTAAACTAGCCTAGGTTGCCCATAGCTGACCGGCTCAAGCCAAGAAGGCCAATAGGTCGCTCCCACTGGGAGTTTTGAAATTGTAACCTTGTGGTTACCAAGTCAACAACTTGACCAATTTGGCTGGGGTTGCCTCCTAATTCTTGTATTTTGGGTGACGAGGGAAACCCGCAGTCACTACCCGAAGGTGTGCCACTGGGTAACCCCACCCTGTGACATTAGCCAGCAAAGGATCACAAGGAGGTAAACCAGCCTAGGTTGCCCATAGCTGACCGGCGCAAGCCAAGAAGGCCAATAGGTCGCTCCCACCGGGAGTTTTGAAATTGTAACCTTGTGGTTACCAAGTCAACAACTTGACCAACTTGGCTGGGGTTGCCTCCTAATTCTTGTATTTTGGGTGACGAGGGAAACCCGTAGTCACTACCCGAAGGTGTGCCACTGGGTAAACCCCACCCTGTGACTTTAGCCAGCAAAGGATCACAAGGAGGTAAACCAGCCTAGGTTGCCCATAGCTGACCGCCTCAAGCCAAGAAGGCCAATAGGTCGTCCCACTGGGAGTTTTGAACTTGTAACCTTGTAGTTACCAAGTCAACAACTTGACCAGCTTGGCTGGGGTTGCCTCCTAATTCTTGTATTTTGAGGAAACAGAAGCTTGTTTGTGCGAAACATATAATTCCCGGATGTGTTCTATCTGGCTGTAATGAACACAAATGACAAACCTGAGGGGGGGTATGGCCCAGAAGTTCACGCAATGGTATGCTTTCTGCAAGAGGGTGTTCAGCAGGAAGTTCATATACAATTTGATTCAGAACCTAAGAATGAACCAGATTGGAATGGAGTAAATAAATAGTTCAGTTTGAAATTCAAAATAAAGTTCCAACAAGAAATTCGAAATCACAAAAAACTTTGAGACACTGTTTTCCTTGACACGCTTCTATATGCATTCAAACAAACAATGTTCCAGAAACGGTATCAAACCTCTGCTTGGCGTCCCGCCTGTAATCTTACACCTGTAGCATCATACATCACCTGCCAAAAGAGCGTTCACCCAATCAAAATAAAGGGGAAAGAAGTGTGCTAGCTCACACCAACACACAATAACATGCATTTGAATGGGTAAGAGTAATTTATAGGATCTATTCGGCAGAACTAGTTGTTAGCTAACTGATTGAGTTGGAAGTGTTTGGCAGACATAGCTGATAAATGTGAAATTACTTTAAACGTTTTAATGATTGAGATGTCCTTAATCCAAAAAGCTAAGGGTAAAAAAATTAAAATTATTGAAAGCTAGCTTCTCATGAAATATATACTAATAGTATAGCTTCTCATAAGCTAACTATTTTTTTTTTTAAACGTTTGCTTACCAAACACCTCTAAAACGCAAAAACTAGCTTTCTGACCCAGTCAATAAGTCGAAAGCTAGCTTATTGGTGCTTCGAAACACACTCACAATAAGTCGAAAACTAGCTTACCAAACAGGGCTTATAGGTTATTAGTAACTTAAAATAAGCTATAAGCTCCTAAATAAACTCTGCCAAACAAAGCCAATATGTAATGCAATGTTTAAGGGCTGCATTAAAGGCAGTAGCAATATATTGATCATTTACGGAGTAATTCAATATAGAGGTGGCATGAAAACAAGGCAACTAGCCATGCACCGTAAAAAAGGATAGCCATAATTAAAGTGCACAAGCCATTGGAAAATGAAATTCGAAAGAACAAATGTCCTAATAGCATAAATCCTAAAAATAGAACCCCAATGTAAAAGCAAAAACCTAACAACTAATGATCTTGATCACACCAATTTAAAAGCAGCTGAGCACAACTTCAGAGCACAGAATATAATCAAATCAAGACGAGAGAGAGAGAGAGAGAGAGAGATGATACCACACATGCTAAAATCAATGATGTAGCAAAGAGTGAACCTCCAAACCCCTCCTGCAAACCGACACCAACTGCCAGAGCAGTTACAGTTGCTGAATGGGACGAAGGCATACCACCAGATCCAATAAGTTGCTTGGGATCCCACCGTCTTTCCTTGTACCTACAAGCTTACTCGGGTAAATACTCATTGAACCTTTTTCTATTGCTACAAACATAAGCCTAATATTTGACTCGTACATGCAAGTCTAGAACACTTCTCAGCTGATTGATGGCAGGAATGGACTAATTTATTGATTCAAACAGTATCTAAATATGGAATAACTTTCCCTTTTCAGTTTTATCTTTAAAACCATCCAAGATTTTATCTTTGTAGACTATCTGGTTAGTGAGCATTCTCCCAGTAAAGAAGAGATCTTAATTGCCCCCACCCAAACATACACACACAAACCTCATTCTCAATCAGATTCTGCTTAAAACTACAAACTCTGAGCAGAAATGAAATTGAGAGGGGAAAAGAGGTTTCTAATGGAGTTAGCTCCACGGGCAGCTCATAGTTTAAAGAGCTTTCAATATAGATATCCAGCAACAAAATAGTGGCAAGTTTCTATATTTCATGGAACAAAACAAGCTCAAATTGATCCCTATGCGGCGAAATGAAACTGCGGGTTACCAGACGGTGAAGAATTTGATGGATTGGGCAACGGTGAAGGCAACGAGAGCAGAGATGAGAGGGTAATTCGTGAAAATTGAGGACGATATATACGACGTCGTGGCGGCTGCTGTTGTCCTTGCCATTGGAACTGCTTTCCTGATCAACGACACAGTTGATCTCGCCGCCATTTTCGTTCGCCTTCACCAATCAACCTCCGCCGCCGCCGCCGCCCACCTCCGATTTACACAAGTTTCAACCAAACTTGAGATTCTTGTCCTCGATTTGGTCGCGAAAATATGCCCAAGATTTGGATTTACGTTGAATACTTGCTCCTGTATGTTGGTGTAGAGATATGAAGAATCAAATTGCGTAGAAAGAGACTTGCGAAATCTGAACCAGTTAGCAATGATCTCACGGGCACGGCAAGGAGGGGAAGCAAAGAGGAAATGAAAATCTCTACGTTTGTACAAAAATGTTTTCTTTTGTCTGAATTTTCATCGTTGGTGTTTTTTTGTTTGTCGATCTTTGGCCGCATTGGAATATTCTTCTGCCGATGTTTTTATTCGTACTTCCATCATCCAATTGAGAATTTTCCATTTTTTAAATGATTCTTTAAAAATATTTTTTTAAATTACAATTTGTTATATGTATGACAAAAAAAGAAAAGGAAAATGTATATATAATCTTCTTCTTCAAAAAAAAAATTCATTAAATCAAGTCCGAAGGTAAAACATTACACATATAAGGAGGGTTAAAAACCACTCTGACAAGTCGACAACCAAACTGTCTAGGTACAGTACGGGTTAAATTGAAAGAAGACACTCCCTAACACTTGCAAGAATCAATTTTCACTTGAATGTTGTCCATATTCCTGTCCTTAATCTAGTTCAAGGCTTCTCTTACGGCTGTTGCTTCTGCCTCCCTAGGGAAAAAATACCATTCCATTGGACCTCCAATTTGCATCTCTGATCATGCTGCCAAATCTCATCTTAGCATTTGTCGTTGTCAATTGCCGCATCTACATTGATGCTGAAACATATCTGAAACCTAAAAACGCTTACCCTTAAAAGTTTCCGTGCATCATAGGTTTTTGTTTAGTACATATTATAGGATCATTGGTGCCAAATGCCAATAGAAGTGCAGATGGAATGGTGCATATTCCTTTCATCTTTCAGTCAGCTGTTTACCTGTGTAGAGTAGAATGCCAGAATTCTCTTATGCAGATTTATATACACCACAAAAGTACCAAATACAGGCTATACTTTAGTGAAGTAAAAGGATCATGAATGAAGAATTACCAGTTTTTGTGTAACCATACAATTGAAACATTACCAGTTCGCTTGCTGAAAATAACATCTCTTTATTGGTACCAATTACAATGAATCCTTCCCAACAAAACCCATCAGCTCTGCTTTGGCTGCTTCCATCACAACATTGAAATCTGTCTGCATATATCTTCCCCTGAAACAAGTTGGTGTAAGACAGGTGAAGTTGCCCAAAGAGAATATTGTATGAACAATATATAACGAGACCCATCTTGTAGGAAACTAGTATATAAGGAGACGAGTATACAAGGTCAAGGCTGTCATATCGATTAATCTTGCTTGATAGGACTATAGGAGTAAAGCTTCCATTATTGTGTGAATAGTGCTCTTTAGCAAAATTACCAGAAGTGACATTTTGACCAAAAAGTGGAATGAAAGGCTGGACTAGAAAGGCCATGCAATATCCTTGCAACAGCTCTGGGGGTAAATTTGGCATGTGAGTTGCTCTGTAAAAAGACCTGTTATACACGAAATAAAGAAGACATTAAAACTGCAGGAAGCATTCTTCTCTGGCAGAAATAATGCACTTTCTAACACAATTTACCTTTATGTCAGCTCTCAAAAAGGGGCTGCAAGTACAAAAAAGGGTCACATTAGTGCTTTAGAGCAATGCCATTGTAGATTCTGTCTAATGAACAGGCACAGTAAATAATTGAGACAAATGAGTAAACCTGCATTGAGCCATCTTGTTGGGGACATCAATGTCATCATTGTTTTCGAAGTATTCCAAAATCTTCCTTTGCAAGCAAGGAGTGTGATCTTTGTCATTACAACCATGCGCCTTATCGCACCCTTTTACTGCAGCTACAGCAGCATTATATATTGTATCCATCTTCCGCACCTATTTAAAGGAAAAATATGCATACATCTTTTCTAGATTATTACTTGCATGGTAAAATAGAGACAAATATATGTAGACTTTTATACTTTTTGATGAAGTATTTCAACAAGTCAATATCACGGCCAAAAGCTATGCTGAAGGCAATCTGATGATAACATGGGCTTCTTTCTATGGCAAGTTATATCATGAAGCAAGCTTACTGAGCATGGCAATTGGCAAGCAATGTTCATCACAACAGTGTTCATAGCAGTCCAAGTAATTGTTTGTTAACGTTCATAACACATGTATATAATATTCATTAAGAACATATGTAGGCCAGAGTTCACAGTTTATCAATTGTCTTCAAACAAAGAATACAGAGGTAAGCCCATGATTGTGTTGAGGTACATGCACATCTTGAAGGTGATAAAGTTTTAACACTCAATATGTCAGAGGAGGGGTGGGAGAGGGGAAGTATAAAGGAAGTTGGATTGTTGGAATAAAGAAAAAAAAAAATTGTATAGAAGTTGAATCACCTTGCATCTCTCAACCTCTGAAAGCCAGTTCGTAAGCTGTGCTGCCAAAGAACAAATATCCTTGGGGATATCCATGACTGTGAAACAGTAAGCTTGATCCTTCAGCTCATAGGTAATTTCCCCCTTAAACTAAGATAAAGAAAAATATAAAGTTAAGGCAAAAATGGGATTCCACATATAATTCAGGGAACAAAATTTGAAATAACAAAAATTACATTTTAAGAATGGTCTTAAAGCTTCCATTTGCCATTTTGCCATACAAACAATGACATCATTTGAAGAAACCGTTAAATCAGGAAGTTATCAATTAATTTGTGTGCACACACATATATGTAGTTTAGTATACAAATGCAAGTGTGAAGCTTGAAGCAGTTGTAAACAATGACAACACAGAATAAAGCAAGAGATAAGACTTGAGACCAGTTGTAATACCTTTAGACTCTGCAAGTGATTTGACAAGTCAGCAGGTTGCAATCCAATACTATTTGCAATGGTTGGTATGTCAAACACATATTGCCCATCTTTAATTTCAGACCTGAAATTCACAAAGCAAAAAAATGAATAAATAAAATAAGTTCAGACCTGAAATTCACAAAGCAATAAAAATGGTTAACAGCATTTTAAGTGTTTAATCATTGGAAAGGAAAGAGTTACTTCTTCATGACTGCAGCAATCACTATATCTTTAGCAGCAAGCAGTGCAGGCGAAGTCTGCAATACATTGTTATCATCGTTATCATCCTCAAGTTTAGAATAAAGGACAATAAGATACAAAATGGTAACAAAACCACAATAACTATTTGTCTAGTACTCTAGTTCATACTCAATTACAAAACCACGGTGAGATTTATCATTATTTTAGCTCTAGTCATTCACTACTATGAAATTAAGAGGTTTCCAACCAGTAAGTAAAGTAGCAAACTATAGCACTCCCAAATACTGTGAAAACCAGTTCATTCTTGGGAGAATAAGGAGAAAAAAGTTTGCAACTCACCTGGTGGAAATTCAAATTGCAAGTTACATTCATTTCAGGAAGCAAGCACAAGTATTTCACTTCCCCCAACTCCAATTGTGTCAAAATTGTTAGCAACACCTAGAAGGATATGTAAACCCAGCCATCAGCATCATTTATGAAGATAGATTAGTAAAAGATGCAACTTTTAGATGCTCCTACATAATATCCACCTCATACCTTATCAACCATAATTTTTTCATACCAATGGTAAAAATTTTGAAAGCTACACCACCATATTGAAACAAATAGAAATACAGAGTATTAATTAAGATAAAAAATTACTGTTATAGTAGTTGCAGACTTGCAGGAACTACGCTTATAGAACATTTATTCAGTCTGTCGGAAAATGCCACTTAGGGATTTTCTATATAAAAATGTTCTTTCACTTTTGTTTGCAATCTCAAATTCTCAAATGTTCTTTCAATTGAAGCATGTGTTCCATCTCAACTAAAAGCCTAAGCTAATAGTTGGATACAGATTAATGGATATATGCTCACACGCCCCCTCACGTGTATGGTGGATTCCAACCAACACGTGGACCGGTAAACCGTAGTCGCTTACGAGTGGCGTTGAGATTCGAACCCTTGACCTTTGGTCTGGCTCTGATACCAAATTGAAGCATGTGTTCCATCTCAACTAAAAGCCTAAGCTAATAGTTGGATACACATTAATGGATATATGCTCACACTTTCACTTGTAACCCAATAGACATTTTATTTTACATTAACAAACTAAACATGATTGAAGCAACCAGAGAGGAAAAGAAAAGAGAAGCACCTCCTCTTTCATATCAAATTTTCGGGATGCAGCTTCTTTAACTATTGAGTAAACTTTCCCAAATGAACCTGTGCCGTTGCTAAAAACTTGGCAGAGGAATTTGTTCACAGCATACTCATCAACACCATCACTGAAACAAAATGTTTGTCAGTTTAGATCTTCCCTGCTAAAAAACATTTGACAATACAGGGGCAAGTATCAATACCTATGAATAAGACTACGAAGCTTATAATAGGAGATATCATCAAAAAAGAGATGACAATAAGACAGTCTACCATCACGTCCAGCACGACCAATCTCCTGCATAGATCACATAACCTTCATGGCTAAATAAATCTGTAGCAGGTATATCTTGTAGGGTTCTTAATACTAGGTAAAAAAAAAAAAAAAAAAAAAAAAAAAAAAAAAAAAAGAGGAGCTCTTTAGGAATTATTACCAACCTGAACATACTCTTCCAAGCTTTCTGGTAAACTGTAATGAATGACCTAAAGAGAAGGAAATGGATAGCTTCATTATATTCACAACAGGGGTGCCACACAAAATTGCTATACATTGTTATGCCACAATATGGCATGGGAAGTTTTTGGATTATCAATGTCACAACTATTCAACTGAACTCAAGCATTTTCAACATTACTGGTGTGAAGTTTGGACTTGAATTAAATGATGTCTGACATTGATAGGCAGTCTAATATAACTATACCAAGTGAATTTTATGTACAGGAAGATAACAAAATTAATTCATTTTTAAAAAATTTCACATATATATCTTTAAAAGGTTTTATTTTGACAATTCATAATTAAAACAACAAATTGTTACAGCATGAGTTTAAAGTTGAGAACTGAAACCAACTATCTACAATGGTAAGTTACCTGCACATGTTGAATTAATATTACCATCTTGATTGCGTATATAGGAAATTCATTAAATTTGGGCACATACAAGAGCAAAAGTAAATAAGAAAATGAAGCAGAGCTCCAGTTCTTACAGCTCCAATATCCTGCTTATCAAGTCCCATGCCAAATGCCACTGTTGCAACAACCTTTTAGAAACATAAATTTGAAAGTCAATGAATGTGACAGGTGCGGTAAATGTCCTATTATGATACCTCAATAAAGAATGCAATATCTGCCAAATCACAACGAAGTAACTCACCACTCTAATTTTGTTTGCACAAAAGAGCTCTTGCGTCCGTCTTCTATCTTTTGCAGGAATGGCACTGTGGTAACTCTGAAAAGCAACACATAAACCAATCTCATAGCATTATGCAACAGATGCAATAAAACCCTGCATCATTCGAAAGTGTATTTACCCAGATAAAAGTAATACAAACCTTTGCTGAAATATTGTAATCACAGAGATATTTGCATACGAGATCTGTTTCAGACTTTGGAATACATGCAGGGGAAAAATGAATAAGTTAAGCAGTCAGCGACTCAATGTAATGTGACTCATTTCTCTTAGTAAAGTTTTTCAAGGAGAAAAAATGCATTTACATGTGCCATGAATATAAAGAAAGCTAACCTGAAATTTGCAATAAATGATAATGCTTTTGACATCAGAGTAGGGAGAAGACTTTATCAATGCCATTAAATCTTTCAGCCTAACAGCATTTTGTGGTTTGTAGGAGATTATTGTTAGGCATTCAGTTTACACCAAGTAAGATTGATGAAAAAATCTAAGAATTTGTTGTACATGCACCTATTGCTGCTCATTGATATTGACATCTGCAAATTGTTTCTCAATTTGGTTGTTTGGATGAGATTAGTAGAAGGGATATCAAGAGCTTGCATCACATTGTGCAATGCTTTGACTGTTGCAGTTGCAGTCATTGCAAGAATGCATTCAGCTTTGAGCCTAGCACGCAGCAAGGATGCCCTAAGCCTCATATATGAGGGCCGAAAATTGTGTGACCTGCCAAAATGTTTAAAGTACTTATAGTTCATACAGAAGTATCAAAGACACACATGCCCGGAGTGACACTCACCATTCAGATACACAGTGAGCTTCATCAACCACCACAAGCGATATAAGGGGACTGCTAGAGAATATAGAAATAAAATCTGAACTCAGAAGCCTCTCTGGTGAAACAAAAAGAACCTGGACATAATAGGCCAGTCAGCTATAAGTACCATGCTAAGAAGAGATCATACAGAAATGGATTTACATGCACCTAATACCTGTCTTCAACCAAAAGGTAATATTATTAAGGGCCTGCTACTTAGGCTATTCGAGTTATTTTGACGTTTAATCATATGACCAAAGGTGAACCATGAAACAACTTACTATAGAGCCAAGTTAACAGATATGAAGGAAATATAGGCCAGAAAATTTCTAGAAACAAATAAAAAGGCTAACCTTGATTGATCCCTCTTGCAGAGATTGGAGAGTTTCTGAGGTCTCTTCTAGTGTCTAAACAATAAGATACTAAAATTAAGAATTATCCCACTATGCACATAAAACCACTAAATTTGAGGTAGAAATAACCTGACTGCTACAAAGAAGGCCACCGGGGAGTGCAGGAGGCAGCTGATTTAACTGATCAATCATCAAGGCAACTAATGGGCTAATGACCAGAGTAATCCCCTCAAGCACCATGGAAGGCAATTGATAACACAGAGACTTTCCAGCCCCTGTTGGCAAAAGCAGCATTGTTGATTTCCCAGAAAGCAACATCTTGATTGCCTCCAATTGTCCACTCCTAAACGAATCATAACCATAAGTCACCTTCAACAACCTCAACAAGTTCTCATCAGATGCCTCATTCCTAACACTCATCACAGCCTCTTGAATCAACACCTCATCATAATTCAAAATTTCCTCTCTTTGTTTAAAATTCATAGCCAATCCCTCTTCATCATACACCCCGCCCTCCCCCTTCTCTCCTTGACCCTTACCCTTAAACTTCCTCTTACTTCTGTAAAACTTTCTGCCAGTACTGCAGGAGCCATACTTCTTTCTTTTTCCCTTGTATGCATACTTTCTCCCAGAGCCATTGATGTTCAGTTTGACAAAGTTGCCTTCATTAACACATTTAGGCTTCTTCACAGGCAATGAAGCAGAAGAATCACGCCCAATGAGATTAGGAAACCTCTTTAGAATTTTCGCAGAATTTCCAGAAGTAGCAACTTTTGTTTCCGATTCTTGCGGCGCAATGTTAGCCTCGCCGGCCTCAGCTTCCAATTGGGAGGCTGAGAATGAAGAGGTGCCAAAGGAATCAGGCTCCACTGACTCAAAATTGAGTTCCTTCTTCTGGATTTTGGAAAAAGAGGCGAATTTCGAGGGGCGTAAATCACCTGGAATAAATGTTTCAATGGAATCGTTAGTGGTAGAAGCAAATGCTTGGTTTGAGTAAGTTGAACGGTGGATTTGGAAGGGCAGGTTGGCGGTGTCTGGAGGGGGAAGCTTTGGCGGCGGTTGCACCGGCGGTGGTGGTTTTTCGGGCCCTAGTTCTACCGGAATTGAATCTGGGGGTGGTTTTTGGGGCTTTCTGCAGGATTTCGGTCTTATAATTGGGCGGGAAGCTTTGGCGGCGGTTGCACCGGTGGGTTTGAGTTTAGTTCTAAATTTAGTGGACGACAGAAGAAGAGCTTTTGGTGGTGGCGCCGGCCGCGGCTTCTGCTGCGGAGACGACGGTGGTGTGGCCGAGATGTGGGACCCATCGGAGTCAGAGTCGGAATCCATGGAAGGTGCTCGACGAAACGTCGAAATGAAGCTGGGAGCGAAAATTTTATGCTCAAATTTCCCGCCACCTCTCTACCTGGCGGGAATATCAGGACATTTTTGTAATTTGAAGCATAGATCAGGGGCAAAATCGTCACTGTTCGGAAACTCCGAAGTTATAATAAGCCTATGATAGGCCACTCAAGTTTATCATATTATTATTCATCTAAGCATAATGTTATAACTTTTTTGATTTTTTTTTAGTATAATTGATTCTGTTACAACATAGTACTTTCTCTTCACTGGGAATCGTATCGAGCCCATAACCTTCTATTTGGGTAAAGCCGCTAAGCGGCTAAAGGTACGGGTAAAACCCCCCTTGTGGCCTTAGCTAATAAAGACAAAATTTCTTAAAATTGACAATGATGAACTAAACCGAGGGATGAAATGTATAATTTCCCTTATTTTCTTCCTCTTGTCACCATTGCAGTCCTCAAGCCTAAACTTTCAGCAAATCAAATTATATGAAATTCAATGGGTTTCCCAGTTACTAACATTTGAATTTAACCAATAGTTCAAAAACATGTCCAAAAACTGCAAGCTCCAAGTACAGCTTTTTATTACAGTTAAGGTGAAAAGACAACATAGAAAACAACTAGTTATATATACATTTGATTTCATTGCAGCAGTGTGTAGTAAGTCAAATGCTCTTGATAAACTCATGTTGCAACTGCATGTTTGTAGCACTGATCTTGCGGTTTGAATCTCACCGGGTTATCCACCGCGAGGCCTTCAGTACCGAAGCAGAAGAACTGGTTCATCACCTTCATGTTGAACGAGTCACGTTTCTGCCCGAGTCTCGACTTCTGTTTGCCCCGCAAATCGCTGGAGCTCGAGGCGCCTGTGCTGCTGGCATTTGCGAGGTTGGAGCTCTTGTCTTGAACGGCGGAGTTTGGAGATGCCCACGGTGATCCCGAGAAAGAGCTCGGGGCAGTCGGGGGTGATCCTAGAGATGATTGTGGCGTTATTTGAATGACGCCTTGTCTTAGCCCGGCAGCGAACTTCTTCTTGGTGGATGGGCTCGGGAGGCTCTGGCAGACCGAGAGAACTCTTTTGCTGTTTGGGAGAGAGGAACCTCTCGAGAATTTGTGTCGCAGCGGGACCGGCTTCTCCCCCGAGCTTGAAGAGTACGGCGCGAGAGATTCAACGGAGTTGGTGTCAACGGTCGAGTCTTTTTTCTTCGGCCACTGCAGAAGAAACTTTAGGCGTCTGGCAGCGCTGTTTCCCGAAACCGCTTTCTTTTTCTGTGACAAGTTCGAGCCATCTGCAGAATGGCACGGGCTTATTTCGCCCGAGCAGGAAGCATACCCCGTGCTTGCCTCGTATCCTTTCTCGAGGCCAGTATACAAGAATATCTCTCCATCCGGGATCCTAAAAGAAGTCCCGGGACTGCCTGCAATGCCCCGAATTCTCAGATGTGAAGCCAGAACACCTCTCCTCTTATGATCACAACAATTAGAAATTCCACCAGCCGAGATGAGCCGCTTAATCAATATCTCGGAGGAAGCACATCCTGGGCCCTGCTTGAGGAGGTCCAACGGGGTGTTCCCATCAGCATCACGAACATTTAAATCGATCGAAAATGCAGTCATCAACAGCTCCACCAAATCAGTCCGAATGTTCTCGGTAACCGCCATGTGAAGAGCAGTTTTACCGTCATGGTTCCTCAGATTAACGACGTCCTCTATACACACAATTTTCCCCCGCACCAACTGCTTCATCAGCTCTATCTGTCGGTCCAATCTGTGAAAACTCGGGGTCCTGAACCCCGCCACAGCCATATGGAGAAACGTGTCCCCGTAGTTGTTTGTCAACAAGGTAGACGAAGGAGATGCAGATACGAGAACTTTCATAACGTGTAAGTAACCCCGGTAAGCAGCCACATGCAACGTGGTGTTTCCTTGGTTATCTCTCGAATCGATAATGCCATCATAGCGTGCTAGTAAACTCTTAATCACCTGAGCAATAATTGCAGAAGAGAAATATCGAAAGCATTAGAACAACATCTAGTCATCTTTGGTTCTTTCGTTAGATCGCTATAGCAACAAATCATGGTACAAACAAAAACATCCTTTTTAATCTCAAGAAACACACAAAACTAATTTCGTTCAAATCCCGTCAACCAATCTAGTCCTATTGTTACACGAAAACTATTCAGCATATGCAGAAACATTTAGAAATCGATGCTAGACAAATCTTACATTTACTTATATCTAAATCAGGTCAACAAATCTTACATTTACTTATAAATTATAATTAAATCTCCACCGTATATGCAGTCCAGATCATTGCATATATAAGACAGAAAGGTGTTAATTGAATGGGACATATAGATTACCATCTTGAAAAAGATCGTACCTTTATGGTTAAAAAATTCATCAGTCTTAAAAAGCTAAACATGAACAGCTAGCAATATATTTCTTTTGCTTTTTGGTACAAAAAGTTGGTAGATAATAGCATAAGTAACTACGAGTAATATTGTAAGTAACATATGAAAAAACATTGGGGTTTAAGGTACTAAAATGTGGTTCAATGTGATTGTCTAACTAATTGCATGTGCTCCATCTCAACTAAAAGCCTAAGCTGATAATTGGATTGCACATTAATGGTTATATGCTCAACATAACTAACCTCGACCTGCCCTCGGCCTGCAGCAGAATGCAAGAGAGTAGATCCCAAACCATCTCGAAACATCAAAGCGTCCAAGCAATTCCCAAGAAGTTCCATCAAGATCTCCACGTTCCCTCCTCTAGCCGCGGCATGGACAGCCCTACTCGTCATTTCCGCCTTGAAACTCGAAGGAAAAACATCCTCTTCTGATTCTTCTCCACTGTTCCCGAGCTGCTTCAGCGAGACTGCAGAGTCGAGGAGCAGCCTGAAGACTTCGGAGCTCCTACTCCTAGCCGCGGCATAGAGTATATCGGTGACCCCGAACTCCCCTTCCCCGAACACCAAAAGCGGGTCCCTCTCCAGCAATTCCTTAACGAATTCCATGTCCCCGGCTGAGGCAGCCGTGTAAAGAAGCCAGCCACCATAGCCAGCTCTGATCAGAGAGTTCTGACCCTCCTTGGTTTCACATTCGAGAAGGAGCTTTCTGGCCACTCCACACCGGCACTTGGCAACATCATCGAACTGTTCTTCATCGTCCCAAACTGTCTCTAGACGGCGAATTCGCCTCAGAGATGTGAGTTTTATGATCAAATTGGTGTCAAGGTGCAGAAGCTCCCTCACCAGATCATAATGCCCATTGGCAGCAGCCCAATCTATGGGAGACGCAAACCACCATTGGTCCCCCGTGCTCTCCCACCTCAGAGGAAAGTATGATGGAGGCATTCAAACAACCAATCTAAACCGTTCAGATCAACAAGAACAAGAATCAATAATAATGACAGAAAGTAAAGAATACCATATTTACGTGGTTCAGCAATGTGCCTAAATCCACGGGAAAACTGCTCTTTTATTAATTCTGATGGTGATAGATAATAAAACATCCAAGGTTACTAGAACCATGTACATGTACAATTACATACACAACAAAGACCCTTAATTTCTGCAAATTTAGCAACACCAAAAACACACATAACCCCAAACCCCAACACAAATCCCAGCAAGAAAATGGTAACTGAAGCAGTATGAACAAAGCAAAATTACACCTTTACATCCTCAAAACCATAACTTCAGCTAGGAATTCAGCAAAACCCACTTTAAAGGCACATTGAGAAGACCCAAAAAGACTGAATTGGTTCTTGAATTCCCAAAAATAAAAGCTAGAAACAGATGAAAACTGAAAAGTATATAATAATAGTAAGATGCACAGAAAGGTAGGAGCATAGGGATCAAGAAATTACCAGGTTCAAGAAAGCTGCAGAGCAGAAGAGGGGGGGGAGGGGGTTGAGAAAGTGAGGGAAAAGGGGGAGATGCCCAGATCCTTTAATCTATGCTCTGCTTAGTTTTTTAGCAGATAACAACAAAAGGAAAGAGGCCACACGTTTGTATAATGAGAATATTGATTATGTTTATCTGGTACACATTAACAGATACGGCAAGTGGCTACAATGCAAAATACAGGCTTCGGAAGTTTCAAGATTCTTTTCCCGTGATTGCCCACCACACCACCTCACCAGGGACACGCAAAAACTGTGTCCGCTATTTCCAGAGCCGTCTTTCTGTTAATCTCTGAGCCTAATTACAAGTATTGGCATTTGCGTGAGTGCACACTCGCACTATCGTAGTACTGATACTGTGATACATCAATGTTTTTTTTATAACTGATATAATGAATATGTTTCTGGTGGTAGGATCAGTGGCCACAATCAAATTGATTTGATAATAACCAGCTTGGTTAATGTGAGCCGTCACTGACCTTGTGCTCTTACCTCTTGAGATCGAAAGTTTGAATTCTTTCTCATATGAAAAAATCAATTTGACCAACACTTTGCTCTTTAACCGGGGTCGACTCGGTGTATCTCTTTATGAAAGTTGTCTATTGACCTTTTTTATTTGAGTAGATTAGTTATGGTATGTGGGTAATTTTGGCTGTTTATTTTTGTTGAGTGGAGGTCGATGAAGGGTCCAGTCCAACACCAATAGTTAGCGGATTGTTGGGCAAGACCCGAATGGTCAAGTTCAGCACTATACCTGATAGTGTTAATTCCCACGTAAACGGTAAATAAATAACACAAGTCCAATCAAAGCAAGTAAATCTTTTATTGATCGGGGTGAATGACCTAAATACAATCTACACTGACTATTCCGAGGGCCGACTGGCTATGGTCAGGATGCTCTGACAATAGCCTATCGATCGTCCAAAAGTCCCTCACACTGTTGCAGCCGCGGGTATTTATAGACGCTGGGCCGAAGACACAAGTCCGGCCGTCCGGCATGTCACCCACGTAGCAACACGTGTCTTCCTCCCGGGGGCCCTGCCTGTCAGCGAGTAATGCTGCCACGTGTCTCTTCTCGGCTCTCTCGCCTAAGGGCTGTCGATCGAGAATCGAAGACGTCGGTCGGGTGATACCCGGTCGGGAACCGACCGGATTCTTCTAAGAAAGTCCGACCTGTAACCT